ATTAAAGCTGTAAGATCTGTTTAGCTAATTCTGCGTGTTGGCCAAAACTTTATTTTAACCATGCAGTAGGCTCAGTTTTTAAGCAGGGATTGACACTTGCATTTTTGTACCTTTTCCACCTCTGGCTGCCTCAGATATTCCCTGTAGCTCAACCACCTTCTCACCTCTTCTTTTTGATTGACACTATGGCAAGATCACCCCCCATGATTCTGGGGATGATGCGAAGAGCTAGAATGTCCAAAGGATGGTCATAGGGGCCTTATGGAAGAGTATTGGAGCCGTATGGGGAGGGTGGTTAAATACTGTGCCTTGGAACCGTGATTAGAGAATCATAAGAACGTTCACTGAAGTCAAGTGGAGATTGCAGGGGGCTTTAAGGCTCACATTTTCTCATGTACCTGCTGGCATTGTCATGTCCCCTCTCGTGTCCATTGCTTTCTTAAAAATGTTCTTTTTTCATCATTGCGGTCTTTGCATCTCGTTCCCAGTTTCTCACCTAAAAGGCCCAAGGTTGCTGCCTGCCTTTTTGGTTGAAATAATGGCCAGTGAGCAAGAGAAGAAGTGGTGCTGGAGGATGTAGCCACTGGTACGATTTGGTACGTCCTGCTGATAAGCCCTGGTTAGTGGATGGGGAGATCTACAAAAATAGCTGTTGGTAACAACACTTTTAAATAAAGGCAGAACAACAACATGTAAGTGACTCTAAAATGTCTGTCCCCAAGTTGGGGTTACCCAGCTGTGTCCCTTGTCCTTTCAGACTGACTGGTTCAGCAAGGCAGCCTCCTGTGAGAAAGGGATCCTGTCACCAGAGACCTCAGGGGTTTCCTCACACCTGCTTGTTACCATAGCATAGTGCCATGACGAGAGGATGGAGTAATTAATGAGGTGTCCACATGCATATGGGAGTTGAAAGATAAAACTGACTACATTTATTAAAATATACCTAGATTAATGTTTATAAAGATTAATGTTTCAGGTGTGTCGAGCAGTAGCATGAAGTAATAAAAGCAAGTCTGCTGGTGCTTCTACACGTCAGCTCTCAATTTTACTCTTTACATAGCACGGAAAAAGTTTCAGTGTATTGCATTGTGTGAATAGGCTCATCAGGCTGCATTGGGGCTAAATATTTTCCTGTGAGAACAGGCAGTTTCGGTGATTGTTTGATATTGGCCTCCCTGTTCTTTTGATAGCTCTTTTTTCTGCACATAATTTCTCTTCAGTGAAAGGAAGGGTTGGCTCTTTGAGCCATATTGGCTTTTTGAACCATCAGGGCAACTGACTCCAAGGAAGAAAAGAAAGCAAGCTTGTACAGTTAAATGAATGGCAGAATCTAGCAAACTGTATCAACTAGAAATCACTTTTTAAAATGCTCAGTACTCAAGAGCCTGTCAGAGCTGCATCTACTTAATTGCTTCTGTTCCCTACAAAGACTGAAACTGTGGTTTTTGAAGAAGTAATGTCACAACTGGGGCAGGTATGCTGCTTAAGAGCTGGCTTCAAACGGGCCTCAGAGTGCTGGGGAACAGTCTGGGCAATCTGAAGAGGAACAATTCAGTCTGAAAGAACCAGCAGAATTAATTTGGGACACCCAGCTCCCTGCCAGTCTTGCTTAACTGGCAGTGTCTAGAGCTTTATCGTGCTAAACAAACTGGCAAAATAGCAAAGGGTAGTACAGGAAAAGAAAATGACAGTGAATACACTTTTCAGTTAATGTATCCGAGGAATGATTTTAAGACATTTTGTCTTATTGCTTATGTGGTAGGAAAATAAATGAGAATGAGAAAATGGGGAAAAAAAGACTAGTATATGAAACTTTTTAGCAACATAAATTGGAAATAGTATATCATCTCTACAGAATGCACTTGAGACAATAACTGGTTGTAGATATTGAATATCTTTGGCATGGTATGTTTCAATATTTATTTATTTATTTAAGCCATTAGAAGTAATCAGATACTTTCATCTTTGATATAATGTATTGCTTTTCTAGTTAATAGAATAAGTGAGTGAAATCTTTTATTCAGTCAGAGTGTAGGTATTTCTGTCCTGAAAACTGCTAAAAAATTGTTCCATGGGGCAACGTGAAACTTTCATTGATCTACCCATGGAGCAGAGCATCCTCATGCAGAAAGATTTCAGTACATTAGAGCATCACATCTGCTGAGTGAGCTACATATCTGATCTCTTGATGCCCTTCTGGAAGGAATAATTTTAAACCTTTATCTATTATTTATCCTAGAGCTGGAATCCTTCTTCTTTTCCCTCCTAAACAGAGAGTTAGAGTGAATCATAGAAGTCTTCAGATAACTAACTTTGCCATCCTGAACTGTGTTGAACATCTTTGGCTTTCATCCCTAGAGGCACGACGAGATTTAGGCAATAGCTGATTAGGTGTTCACTCATCTTATATTTTCTTCCACGGATATGGCTCTTATTCACAACTTCCTCTCAGTTCTGGGAGGAAGTATAGATTATCTGGTACCTAGATTAAATCATCAAGTTTATTTCATTTCAAGATCTTTCTTTGTTAGGCCTCTTGAACCACTCCAGATTAATGCACACGATTTTCACAGAAGGTAAAGCTTGGAAAGGCTGAATGGGTACACAATTCTAGTACTGGAAATGTTTTCCTGCCTTCCCCTGGCTAATTTTTATTTTCACAGAAGGCTTACTCATCAAGCCAAGAATATACACCTATAAATATTCCTTCAGCATTTCTCTATTGCAAGGCATAGTGCACAGTTGAAGTGCCTAATCTCAAGAACTGAACTCCCAACAGTCTGCGCTGGAGACTGGATCCAGGACTCTTTGAAATCCGGTTAGCTCAGTCAGTTGAGCGTGGTGCTCACAATGCCAAGGTTGGGAGTTCAATTCCCATTTGGTCCCCATGTGTTGCCTGATCTAGTCGAGATGTGTCATCCCTGGCCATGACAGGGAGGCTGGATTAAAATGATCTCTAAGGTCCCTTTCAGCCTAGGCCATTCTCTGATTCTGTGAAGTCGCTGAAAAAAATCCCATCAAATTTAGTGATTTGAGAGTAAACCTTTAGGGCCTTTTCTACAAGGAATCAGCTCCACTTAGAATTAACTGTACTTAGACTTAACTGTACTTAGACTTAACTATACTTTTTGAAAAGGAATTAAATGTAGTTTTTACTGCATAGGCACATAAAAGGCAGGGATTATTGTCCAGTTACAAAGAAAGTGCAGCTTGTCCCGTATATGGGGACTGAACAGGGCTCTTCCTCCTCAATGAGCTCTAGGCTCCGATCCATCATACAAGCCCAAGCTTCCACCGGGAGAATAAAGTCAGAGAGAGGAATACAGGACATATTCCCACCTCTCTTCTCTTTACGTACCCTCTAGAGGAGTTCAATACCAAACACAGAAAGCAGAAGGGATTCACCTCTCTTCTGTATGAAAAAGATCTTCCTTATACTGGGGTCAATCTACTGCTGCATTGAAATAGTTGCAGCCTGTGCTGAGTTGACCAAGGCTGGACTCGATGATCTTCTAGGTCTCTTCCAGGTGATACAATTCTGTGATTCTATGATTCTACGATTCCATGATTCTATGACCTTGGGCAGCTGACAGGCACCCGACCAGCCGCTCTCTGTCTTCCTCAGCAGCACAAGGGGAGAAAATACGATGAAAAAACTCATTAGTCAAGATACAAACAGGAAGGTCTCAAAGCCAGTGTATCTTTGAGCTAGATTGGGTTCTGATACTCTTTGTCAGGAACCAGACATTTCTGTCATGAGGACAAGAGAGCAAATTACAAAAAAGAATTGTAGACTGCAGCCCCAGGGATGGCTGAAATATTGGGATTGTAGGAAAATAGGCATGGAAACAATGTCCAGTGGTCAGAGCTGCTCAACAACACTTTTGACACCAGAAGAGCTTAAAGAAGAAAATAAATCTTTTCTGGTAGAGAAGAGCTACATTTTTATTATTATGTTGAGAATACAGAAGCGACAGCCATGTTCCGGCTGTCACTCAAATTTTCCCTGCGGTGCCTCTCTGCAGGCCATGGGGCTGTCACACAAAATACTGCTTCCCAAGACTTGATTTGCTAGCTGGACTTTGGAGCCATATTTAGCCACAGGAACCAAAAGGTCAACTCGATATCACTTTGCTTTCGATATTCTGTCTTTTGGACTCAAACTACTAAATTAAAAAAATGGGCTAACGAGTTCTCTCTTTACCCTGGTTTCCTAGCCAGGGAGCTTTATTTTGAGATAGACCTCTTCCTCTGTTTACATTTTTCTCTTTATTTCCTGGTACTTCCCTTACTCAGGAATGCAATTTTGGGCTTTACATGACGTATCACTGTGATAACTTGTGGCTCTTCTTTCCTGGTTCTTTGAGGTTGAGGTATGAAAAGCAAACGCAGCAAATTGCTCCTTCCCCTTCCCTGAGATTGTCTTCCTTTCCAAACTGTTACAATAAATTATTTACCATGAGACGCATTCACTGAGCACGTATCCCACCCATCTCTATTCCTGGTTCTCAGCTTTTCATACGTTATGGCTCTTAGTGGACATGAGACCACTTATGTTTCCTTGGATGCAGGAACGCTGATAAAGTGACTCAGCCTCATCTCAGGGCGAGGCTGGGCCCAGGTTCACCGTGATCTTTCCACTGGCACCAGGCTCGTGGTCCAGAAGGAGCCGTGGCCCACTTTGAGCAGGGGCCACACCTGGACAGCTGGGTGGTCATGCAGCTGAGATACACCAGTACCACCAGATGCGATGTAGCTGCAGAGCTATAGCCAGGCCACATTACTAATATAAATGACAGATTCTGCATTTACAGTGGGGTCGTTTGTTTGTTTGTTTGTTTGTTTTTCAGAATAACTTCTGCCTTTTCAAAGTACCTTTTCTGTCTGCCCCTTTATCAGTTTTGGTGCATCTACTGTCACAGTTCTCAAACTGGAAATAAATCAGTTGCATCAGCTCAGTAAATCCTTTTTTTTCCCTTTTCTTCTGTTTCTTTTTGCAGATGGTGCAGTGGCTGAAGTTGAGAAAAAGATTATAGAAGCTTTTGGGGTGTTTGACCCTGAATGCAGTAAAACTGTGAATGCCAGGTTTGTAAATATCTTCACACAGAAGTATTACAGGATCTAGTATAGAGATAAATAACTCCATAAACCTGTGTCTGCTTTATCCGAAAAAGTAATTGAAACAGTCTTTTTGGCCCTGATGGGACTATTACATTTTTGCTTGTCTAATAGACATTTTGCGTTGTGCAGTGGTGAATTGCACAAACTGGCTTGAGAGAGGGATGTCAGGAGTGGTGGAGTAAAGAAGCAAGAGGAAACTGCAACTAGACAAGAAGCAGCTACAATTATTACAAGAAAATCTCTGCTCTGACAGCTTATTTGGTACTACAGGTCCTGGATCCTTGCCTTCAGGATAGTCCCAGCAAATCAAGGGGTGTCCCTGCCGGTGTGTCTCACTGCCACCTGCCTCTCTCAGCCTGTCGTTATAAGGCAGGTGTCTCAACCCCCTGATCATCTTCATGGCCCTCCTCTGGACTCTCTCCAACAGGTCCATGTCTTTCTTATGCTGGTGGCACCAGGGGTGAACACAGTACCCCAGGTGGGGTCTCACCAGGGCAGAGCAGAGGGGGAGAATCACCTCCCTTGACCTGCTGGCCACGCTGCTTTTGAGGCAGCCCAGGACACAATTGGCTGTCTGGGCTGTGACTGCACATTGCCAGCTCACCACATTCAGTTTTTCATCCACCAGCACCCCCAAGTTCTTCTCTGCAGGGTTGCTCTCAATCCACTCATCACCCAGCCTGTCCTCCATTGCAATAGTTTAAGGCTAAAGAGTCTGGATGTGTTTAGTCTCTTTGGAGGTGCTATTCCGTAGCTCTGGCCATTCTTTTTTGTGGCCCCTCTTGTTCAGCTTTCTCCTTTTTGAAATGGGATGGCTAGAACTGCGGGAATGGAATTTACAGATGGGAGTCAGGAGAGGACTGCATGCACTATACATTTAGCATGCAGTGATATGGAAATACAAGCAAAATATATGCCTGAGGGAGTAAGTGGAAGATAAAGACATGAACTGTTAGACTGTACAGGGCATGACTGGTTACAAGATACAGCACTAAAGGAAATGGAATTTAAAAATTCCTGAATAATCTTAATTCTAATATCTTTTAAATTTGAATATTTGACAGTGCTACTTTTATCGTTGTTTTAACATCCAAACACGTAACAATACGGCTTTTATTATAAAACACGTTTGTGTCTCACTGAGCAGGTTCTGAAGTTGTTAAAATCTGTTGTCACCAGAGCTTTTAATTACAAATCAGTTAGTGAGTACAAACACTACAAAGGAGCATGAAAACTGGTGAGGTTGTTGTCATTAGACACGAAGCCAAGGAAAACATCTTTAAACGTTGCAAACATCTTTTCTACATTGTAAAACAGGTGAGAGATGCGAAATATTTATGTGATGGTCTTAGCAACACATCCGTACTAGTGCCTCTAAATTTAAGAAATTGTGGGTGCTTCTCAGAAGTAAAATGATTTTTCAATTGCACTAAATGGGGAAAACTCCAGGGTGTGTCTCCCCACTTGGTAAGATTGCTGTTCCCTCACCCAGAGGGTTCTTTGGGAAGGGTGCTCACTGAAATCCCTTGGCCCATGTCCAGGGAGGTGCCTGATGCCCGGGGCTGGGGCTGCCCCCGTGCCCCCCAGCTCTGCCCTGCTCGTGGCTGGGGGGTGGGCTGGGCCGGGGCTGACAGGTCCTGCCACGATAGACCCCCACAGGGAGCCCCTGCCACCTGCCCAGCCCTGGGGAGACCCCAGCCCTTATTGCACCGGACATACTTGTTGCTTATTTGTTCATCATTTACGTCTGCAGTCCTGGCTAAATAGCTATAAAATTTGCTACACTCCTCACTCCATTGTGTAATGGATATAGAGCTTGAGAAAATGTTACAACAATGAAATGATACAAATGGACTTTTAAAAAAATGTGTTCGTTCAGACAGTAGGTCATAACATGTGAGAGAGGACATCTGAAAGTCTATTTAACATAGTAAATGTGCAGTTCCACATTAATTTTTATTATAGTACAGTTAGTGACAATGAACAACAATTTATTGTCTCATTATTCTTGGGATCATATTGCAGGGCTTTATCACAATTATGGGATTATTAATGGCTGATTATCTTGTATCAGAAGGTGGCAGTACAGCACAATTTTTAAGCACAATCATAGAATTTCATATGAATATGAAATCTGAAATACCAGATTCCTTGTGAAGAATATGGAAAATTACCCTAACTTGACAGACTCCTAATGCAGATACAAGTTAGAAATTAAGCATGAGGAAGACGATATTGTTTCACGCTACTTACAACATACTCTGAGTCAAGGGCTTTCTTGATTCTGCAAATCTTGTCACTGAAAGTGCTATATGTAGGGTGAAAACTATTGCCCAGATTTTATTGTATCTGTGTTACAAAACCTATATGAACATAAATTCTATGAAATAAACTCATTTTAACCATCATTTTTGCATGTTAGATACTACACAGCAGAAACTGCAGCTGCTGAACTAAGTGAGAACTAGCTGCTGAACTAATTCTCCCAGGCTGGGAGGAAAACGCAATTTCCTATCCGGGTCCTTTAAACTCCATGTTATTACCGGACACGACACAACTGTTTTGACCACAGCCACTTCAGACAACATCCTCGTGCTGGCACCCGCACAGGCTGTTAGGAACGGCTGCTGGCAGTGCCAGATTTTGCAAACTCTTTCAGGGCCTGGCTTAGCCTTAGTCACATCGCGGTCCTGTTGAGTGCGAGGTGAGGCAGGAGGTGAGCTGACGGCAGCCTTCCCATCGCTGGGAGTCGGTAAGAGTAGAAGTCGTGTGGGACAGCCGGGAGGCACGGTTTGAGTTGGGTGTTTCTCTGGGGGAGGCAGAGAGTGTTTGCAAGTATTGAGGATTGCACGAGTGAGAGCATCAAATACAGTATATCCATACTAGAAATAGGGTGCACGGACAAGGATTACAAAAATAGGAGTAAATGTCTGACCTCATCGAGGCCAATGGCCAAACTTCCATTCATGAGGGGGAAGGTTTCACTGGGTCGTTTCAGCAGATGGCTTAGTTTCATAACAACTGTATGTGTGGGACTGCGTTTTGTTTTGTAACTATTTTTGTGCAGCCAGCATTTTTCTCTCTTCTGTCTATTGTAGTGCTTCTCACATGTTTTCAGCCAGAGTGGGAGTTCCTCAAGGCCAAACACTGACCTGTGTAATTTAATGTGTGCTTAGTGTGCCACATTTGGGGCCTTACTGCCATCAGATGATTTTGCAAAGGTCGTTGCTTCTTGTATCTACCATTTTTTAATAGACAATCTAATTTTTCCACCAAATGTGCTGGTGAAGATGAAGAAACCACAGAAGTCTGAATCATGGGAACCACTGGCACTATGAATACTTATTCAAATGTGCTTAAATTTCTGTGTCGTGGAATTGGACGGAAAATCACAAGCAATGTTGATGCTTTTGCCATTTTGTTTTCAGTCATACCATAAGTCTCATTAGTATTATTTTTTACAGCTTTACAGTACTTTTGTATCTAGTGTGTGATATTGTTCATCTTTCTGAGGCATTGCCGGTTTGGTCAGGATTTTCTTTAGAGCCTCAGAACAACTGCACCAAGTTCAACAGTGAATGCAAGCTATGAATATAATCTGCAGCATAAACAGGTTGGTGATAAGCCAACCTATGTTGGTCTGATTCTTTCATAGCAGGGCATAGCAGTGCTGCCTCCTTCCTGACCTCTTGTAATTGCTCTTTACTGCGGTTAGAATTTGTATCTTTATAGCATTTAATGTAAAAATATATTTTACTTGTTACCTTTAATCTCAGTAGGTTTCTAAGTTTTTTATTAGCTGTATAAATGTAGACTTTACTGAAATTAAGCTTAGCAATTAGAGGACAGCAGTTGAAAAGTAACCTGCACAGAGTACGCTGCCACACAATGGTAAAGAAGAAAGTCACAAGAACAATCACACTCCTCGAAAAGGTTCCAGAATATTTTATGTCTGTAACATTGCTTACTAAGACGTCATTTTAGAAGTCCATGTATATATGCTTGTGCATGTTTGTGTGCTTATATATGCACACTCCTATATACAAGCTCTGAATTGGTATCTGGATTCTCCACACATGCTCTTGTAATGCAGATTTACTGACAAAGATTTTCTCTCTTTCTCTCTTTCTCTCTTTCTCTCTTTCTCTCTTTCTCTCTTTCTCTCTTTCTCTCTTTCTCTCTTTCTCTCTTTCTCTCTTTCTCTCTTTCTCTCTTTCTCTCTTTCTCTCTTTCTCTCTTTCTCTCTTTCTCTCTTTCTCTCTTTCTCTCTTTCTCTCTTTCTCTCTTTCTCTTTTTCTTTTCTCTTTTCTTTTCTTTTCTTTTCTTTTCTTTTCTTTTCTTTTCTTTTCTTTTCTTTTCTTTTCTTTTCTTTTCTTTTCTTTTCTTTTCTTTTCTTTTCTTTTCTTTTCTTTTCTTTTCTTTTCTTTTCTTTTCTTTTCTTTTCTTTTCTTTTCTTTTCTTTTCTTTTCTTTTCTTTTCTTTTCTTTTCTTTTCTTTTCTTTTCTTTTCTTTTCTTTTCTTTTCTTTTCTTTTCTTTTCTTTTCTTTTCTTTTCTTTTCTTTTCTTTTCTTTTCTTTTCTTTCTTTTCTTTTTTCTTTTCTTTTCTTTCAGAGAGGTTGGTTCAATTGTCAGGTCACTGGATTGCTTCCCAACCGAGGCAGAACTACATGAACTGCTTGCACAGGTGAATGTTTAGATCTTTTGTACTTTTTTCAGTATTAAACTTGCACAAGTTTGGCCTTGCTGTGTGAAAACCTAAGCTCTTTCCCCAGAGTTTGGAAATGTCATGAAAGTGATTCAGGCAGGCAGATGGTTCCTCGGGTTGCCCTGAAGCAAGCCTTTAGGCTGAGAGGTAACAGCATTGATGGGTTAAAATGAGGAGTCTTTGACTCTCTTGTACCGCAGAAGGTCGCTGTGACACTGTGCCGAAGTGGAGGGGCATTTATAGAAAATGGAGGAAAAATTGGTTTTTGCTGTTGAAGAGGAATGTCCTAAACCTTGGTTGCATTAAGATATCCAAACCCTAACCATCTCACTCTTCTGGACATGCCATGGACACACACCAGATGATTAAGTAATAAAACTCAGGTCTTGAGCAGGTGCTAAAATTATACCTCAAATTCCAAAAATACACAAAGGGAAGACCTGCTGGGTTTTTTTTTTCCCCACTAGGACCTGTTGTTGCTATCTTATAGCCAGAACTCTCAACTTTCTGTCCTTCACGCAAGCTCTGCCAGTCGTGAGATTTCTCAGTTATAAGCAAATAATCTCTCCCTACTCGATTACTTAAGGCTGTAAGTCAAAATTCAGACATCAAACCTTGTAAAACCTAGTGGTCCTCCCATTCTCCTAGTGATGTACAGGGATAAGTTTTTTCCTACACTAATTTTTGTCTCCTTAACTCATGCTTGTAATAGAAGGGATGGTGTGCCAATGCCTTGGCAGGATATGGTCAATAAATAGGACAAAGAAATCAGAAAAAGGCTTCACATTCGTTTCGCAAACTGATATGCTGCCTTAAGGAATGGAAGATGCTGAGGCTGAGGGGTAGAGGAAGGTTTTTTCTCTTTTTCATGTATAGGTCAGGATAATGGGAATTGATCGCTCTTACGCTTTTCTTAGTGTCCCCAGCAAAAATTTGGATAGTTGCAGTAACAGTCTCTCCTCAGTAGGCTGCTCTGGTCTCTTGCAGGTAGGAATTGGGTGTGAGGAATCTTGCGCTAACTCTTGTGAAAATGATGCAGCTGCTTCAGATGAGGAGGTGCAAAGAATTGTCAAAGGAGAAAGATCTTTTAACACAGTACTGCAATCTGTCTGCTCTGGTTCTGTACTCTTGGTACCAGATTGTCCCAGCTTCCACTGACAACCAAGACAAAACAGAAGGAGAAATCATGGTGCTTGATATAGATGATAATTTTAGTGGCCCACAGAGATTTTTGTTTGCTGAAAATGAATAGTGCAACTGACTCAAGATACAGAACTGAGAAAAGGAGGGAGATGCTTTGACCATGCCCCCTCAGTCCAGGGAATCCTCCCCCTAACAAACAGATTGGACTTTCTGGGGTTTTTTTAAGTTTTCAGTATTATTGAAAATTTATGATAAGAAAGTACAATGTAATGCAGGTATGAGGTTGAATATTCTTCAGATACAACAGTGTAACTTGTATGCAATTGTTGGTTATAAGAATATTAAATTAAAGTACAAAAACCGCAAGAAGAAAGAATATATTAAAGAGTAACAGTTAACCTGCAAGAACACTGAGCTGGAAGTCTCAAAGAAGTTTCCATGGTGCCTGTAAATGAAACGTTGGCATAGGTTTAGTACCAGAAGAACACCGTCTCCTTGTAGAACCCTTACTATGTTATGTTAATCACAAACCTATCCTAATTTATGTAACATATTGCTGTAATTGACTATGCTAATACCATTTTATCTTGATCTAGATAAACTAAAAGTTGTCTCTGTTGGCTGGAGTGTAACCCAGCTATTTTTCCAGTATTTTTGCCCATTGTAAGCTGTGTCTTTGAGTCATCTCATCTTCATACTAGCCTTATTGTAGTTAAACTAGCATATGTTGCCATCAAATTATTCATATCTGCCAAATCAGCATTCATGTAATTATTATATCTCCAAAAACTATCATATGTCATTTCCTATATTGCCTTATGCTGCTTCCTGTACTTAATATCATATCTTTAGGCCTATTTACAAAATTAAGATTAAATAATAAGCCTAGAGATGGTGATAACTAATCAGAGGGTTACTACAATGCCTGGAGTTTGAAATGCCAGGTCCTGTGCACTGCTCTGTCTCAGATCTGGATAACTCTGGAAGCTGGTGTTTGTGACTCAAGTCCCTGAACGTTATGTGGACAATGATAGTATGGCTGTTAAGAGTAGAGATAGAAACATAATGGGTGCCACAACAGCATTGTTATATGAACTGTGGAGGTACCCAAAAGAAAGAGAGAGCAAAACTCAGAGTTTCAACAAACAGATACTGTTGTTGTCACAGTCACTGTGTGAAGGGGAGGAATTACAGAAACAGGAAAACTTCAGTGGAAATGAGGTGTAGAATAGGAGTGAGGCTGAAGAAGAGCAAGAGGATACATATATGTGCAAATCTGAATACTTAATGCTGAATGCAAATCTGAATATTTAGAAGAGGTTAATATATAGCTCAGTCAGTTGAGCGTGGCGCTGACAACGCCAAGGTTGCGGGTTCGATTCCTGTTCGGTCCCCATGTGTTGCCTGATCTAGTCAAGAGGTGGCGTCCCTGGCAACAGGGAGGCTGGATTAAAATGATCTCTAAGGTCCCTTCCAGCCTAGGCCATTCTATGATTCTATGATTCTATGATTCTATGATTCTATGATATTCAATTTATTCTCATATATATCCAGTGCTAGAAATAGGATTAATTTTAACAGTTAAAGATATTGCTGAGCCTGCAGAGCCACTGAAAGAAAAGCTATTCTTTCCAGGTCAGAGAAAGCTGAGGTGGCTCATCACCTCTCAGGACTAGGTTCATTGTTAGGAAGGACATGTTTCTTTCACAGACTGCTTTCTGAAGGCAAAATACAAATAGTACACGAAGGAAAAGAGATTATATTTTTCAGTGAGGGCTGAGACTTTCACAGGTATTTGTTACTTTGAGCTCTGAAGTGGTCATTGCCAGTGACTTCTTCTGGTATGAAAATTAGGATTACTTTCAACTGTTTGGATGAGCAGATCTGATGTTTTTTGGAAATAGGCTTGAAAAAACACTTTTTCCTTCTGTTTGGTAAGCCTAGCAGAAGGGATTATTTTGGGTCCTTGCTTTTGGTTGTTCTGCTTAATGTAAGATACATCTATCTATTTCCAATAAATAGCTGCCATATTGCTTTTTCTATCTCTGTGGGCTTCTGACGTAATAGTAATTGAAGCACAGATATTCCCTAAAAAGTCCTGTGTACTTTTACCTCTCAATATTTGTGTTGCATGAATAGTTCAGTGTATTAACAAACTGTTATGTCACTGGAAATGAGTTTTTGCATGGTATTTTGCTACATCTTTTCAATCGATCAAGCAGTAAACCAAATGATTCCGCAGTGTGGAAGGGTACTGTTTGATTTAGCATGAAGCATGCAACAGCTTCCTTTCTTTGCTAGAGATCCATTCTGCTAGGCTTACCAAACAGAAGGGAAAAAGTGCTTTTTCAGCCTATTTCTGCTCTAAAGCAACAAGAGGTGGTGGTTGCCTGCTTTTAGCAACCAAAACTCTTCAAGAGCACTGGGAAAGAGCATGCAGCAGCAGTTGCACCTCTCCATTTAAACAACTAGATATATCAAGCATCACCCCCAGCTCTGACCCAGCTCCCAAGAGGAAGATTTCTTACTTCATCTTTTCCTGGCTCAGTCAGGAGAATTTAAATCAGTGCCTATTTGAGCCTTCTTTCAATCTGAGCTGCATCTGTGGAGATCTTAGCAAGGTGTCGCTGCTGCCATGTGAGACCACACGGCATGCATCCAGTTTCAACACAGACAGCAACAGGTTAGCTCTGTTAAGAGAGCTCCTTTTTGGGAGTAAAACTTGAGATTTTCAGGGAAGAGATGCACTGGGATGTTAGGGAGCAGTTTTTACCATGTTGCTTATCTCCTGTGGAGGTATAGAAAAGCAGTGAGAATTCTGCTAAAAGTCCCCGATGTTTTGAGACCAGTCTGTTCATTTATTTGGGAGGCAAAGGGATGCTTTTCTTTGTGTAGCACTTTATGGGCTGCCTTATGACTGTTTCAAACAGCCCTGACTCAGTCTGCCTGCCTCTCTAGTCCTTCCCCTGACAACTCTCTCCGGCTAGGAAACGTGTGGAGGCAAAAAATTCCATTCTTGAGGTGTACTAGGCTGGGGCTGTGTCCAAACTAGCTCATTAAATGTGCCCAGAAGCATCCTTGAGTGTTGGAGCCAGCTGGCACCGAGGAGCTCCTGACCGCCCTGGTAAATGTTTTATGCAGAGCGGCTGCACAAAGCATCGAGCTGGGGAAAAGTCCCGAAGGTCCTAGCCAGGCCCGGTGCCTGCTGGGGGCAGTGCTAGGTGGCACAGGCCAAAATCATGCCAGGGAACATGCTAATGGTTTGCTATTCTGGGTGGTCACGTTAGTCTTCGTGGCAACGTACCAGGTCCTCCTCGTCTTTCCTGGTATGATTGCAGTCTGAATGTTGAAGTGTCTGCTGAGTTACTGGGGGGAGATAAGATCAGTAACAGCTTGTCCAGTTTCTTTGCATGAGCGGTTTCTAAGCACAAGAGGGCAATATTGAGTTGTTGAAAGTGCCTATGATGGCAGGCCTGTATTTTACCTGGGATATTACTTCTTCCTCAAATTTCTTTCTATTTGATCACAAGCATTTCACTCAGATGTTATGGTGCTGTGATTTTAATAAAGGAACCACCCCAGTTTTCTGGTTTCATATTAGTTTGCTAACGAGTCATATAACCTACTGTACTTAAATTTTATTTTTAGGTAGAAGAAGCAGAAGAAGAAGAACTGACTGGACGCGTTCATCTAGAAAAATTTCTCCCAGTGATGACAAAACTACTACTTGACAAAAGGTAGTGGAAAGTGGATTTGCTGTGTCTGTAGTTTATTCCAGGGTCGTTTCCAAATACATGTATCTACATCAATTTCAATTTTTAAATTATTGGAGAGGGTACAGATTTTTTTTGTTATTTAAACTCAGTTCACATTAGCTTGTTTCAAAATTACTTTGTCTACATAAAATTATGTTGCATGGATGATATAAATAATGCCAGCTTATAATCATGAATTGTAGTAGTGTGTAGCTTTTATATTTTTAATGTAAATCAGAACTAACTTGCTATTCAACATGTTTTGTGCATCTCTGAAATATTTTTAATGCAAATTAAGGTCATAATCATTACTTTCTCTGAACATGTGAGTTACAGTTAGAGAAGCACAGTCTGGTACAGTGTATTTTTAATGAGTTGTACAATTCACCTTCATATTCATGTCTCAAAAGGACTGCCAGGTACAGTTGTTTGTTATTCAAAGGTACATAGAAATCTTGTCATGTAAACAAGAACTTGTGCTATCTTGATATTTTGCACTAAAATCAAGATTACTTATAGAGAATTTATCTTTCTTGTTAAAGATGGAATCGTAGAACCATAGAACCATAGAATTATAGAATGCATTGGGCTGGAAGGGACCTTTACAGGTCGTCTATGCCGACCCCCCAGCAGTGAGCAGGGACATCTTTAACTAGAACAGGTTGCTCAGAGCCCCATCAAGCCCAACCTTGAACGTCTTCAGGGATGGGGCCTCCACCGCCTCTCTGGCCAACCTGTGCCAGTGCCTCACCCCCCTCATAGTAAAGAACTTCTTCCTAATGCCTAATCTAAATCTACTCTGCTCTAGTTTAAAACCATTGCTCCTCATCCTGTCACTACACAACAAGGGTTTTGAGAGACTCAGAGTTGTTCAATATTGAGAAGATACCTTACACATAGAAGGCCTTTGGTAGAGGGTGAAATAGCTATAGGATTTCCCAGAACTGTCTTGCAGCATCCAGAGGCAGCAAGGTTCACCCTGGGGCTGTGTTTGAGAGTCCTTGTGCCGGTGTGCCCCTGCTTGGACATGGCGCAGACAGCCATGTTTTGGTCCTGCTGTGCTGGTGCAGGTTCACTGCCTTCCCCGGTTCCTGCGCTTTTGCCTTCTCTGGCCTTGGTGGCACATTTCTGGCTCCAAGCTCATGTTCACCCTTTCCCAAAACGATACCTTGTTGCTCTGGGCTCTCTTCTCCTCCTCCACATGCCTTTCATACAAACATACAAACACACAAACCAAAAAAAACCCACCCCAAACAAAATCCCACACACTTTCCTGAGGCTAGCACAGGCTTGCCAAGACCCACTTTATCTTTTGGGGCACTATGTCCGTAGTTCACTTATCCAAGGGCACATGAGATTTGGATCAGGAAAAACAAGGCCTCTTCTTTGCAATTTGATTTTTAGATAGTAGAAGAGCGAGGCGGGTCTGGATGAAACAATCAAGCAGTGAGAACCTCCCTGGCTTCAACGGCTTCTCTTTAGTATTCTTGGAGCTTGGTGAGAGTGTGCTGGGATATGGAAAGTCTCCATTTCCAGCTCTGAAATCAGGCATGTGTATGCATGCACACATGTGACCAGTCTCTCTGAAACTGCTAGTGACAGAGCTTTTCTTTTATAGCTACCAGCCTCCTTTGCTCATCATCAGCTCATTAGACTGTCTAAGTCCTACTGGGGGACCTGTTGCCTAGATACCAGCGTGCCTGCACAAAACTTTGCTTTCTTGGTTTGGCCATCTTCTGCTCAGTGCGTTGGCTACGTGGAATGATTCAGCTGTTATTGATTCCTGCTAACCCACTCAGCCAGCCCAGACATGCAGAAGCCACTCACCTGGCTCCCTGGCACAAAGAAAATTAAACACGAGTATAGTAAAAGACATAAGAGGTAAAGATATGGACAGTTCAAAAAAGTCAAGCTGGAATTAAATGTTTGATTGACAAACTTAGTAAGTTCTCATAGAAAATAAGCTTTCAGTTTCCTTTAGTACTCAACATTTTAGCCTTTCAGAATAGTACAGCAGCCTGGCAAACAGTGATTTAACTTTTCTGATTCAATGGTTTCAGGTACCGGCCTATTCCAGCAGATGTTCTTCTACACGCATTTGAGGTCTGTAACTAAGTATTCAAGTACCTAATTGCTGGAAAGAAGTTGTTGATTCTTGATTCAATATGGTTAAAACGACAAGTCTTATTCTTTTTCTTTAAAGGCTCTGGATGAGAATAAATGTGGATATATTACTAAAGAGGAGCTGGTCAAATATTTGACTGAAGAAGGTAACATGACTTTCGTAATATCAATATCTAGGTAAATAAACATTACCTGTGTATATGGCACCTTGAGGTCCTCATTCTGCATGCCAAAACTTGCAGGAGTAGATACATTGTCTTCAAACAATACTGTTGCTGTGATGAGTGTCTGCAGACTAGAACATTTCACTGGTGAATAATACAGGGAAAGAATATTTATCTGCTTGCTTGCAAACATTATAAGATACGCGTTATTATTGAGTCATAATTCAGTCTTGTGTGTATATTTTATGATTCTGTCCACTCTATGCTTGCTAAGGATGCAACTCTTTTTCTGTCCTCCTGTTAAAGTTGTAGTTTAGAGTTCCAAATATTTCAGGTAGTTTCAGAGCTCATTCATTCCTACATTATCTTGATCTTAATTCTAGTGCTGTGTGCAAACAAAGAGATTCAAAGCCCAGATTTAAGTTGTATATCATGTAATCCTCAATATCCCTTGAAGAGCCTGCTTTTCTTGCACGGCTGACTCATGCCTGCAGGCCTCAAGGACAAAACGATGTGCAGGCTTTGCACAAGACCTACCCTCAGATGGAAACCTTGTTCTCAAAGAGGGATGGAGTAGGCCATCAGCAGCTTTCAAACTCCTGAAAGAGAAAAACTAGAAGCCTTTCATGGTGCAAATATAAGTGCAAGAACAGCCAAATGAGAGAGAATAATTCTAACATATGCATTATAAGAATTCATTGTGACAAAAATGATTGTTTCAGAATTCCTGTGGCACAGAGGAACAGGCTGTTTTGGAGCCTGTGAACTAGAAGGAGATCAGAAGATCCATGCCCTCTGTCCCCTCTCCCTTAGACCAGCTCGCTTGGTGTGCAGGACTTACATTGGCAAAAGTCAAAGCATCAGATCCTTAATATTGCTCCTTTTCTCCTCTGTGTGAGGACCAAAAAGAGATCCTTGCAAGGGAAAGGTGGTGTAATTTGCCAGCCCTGAAAAGGATACTGATCAGGACAAAATGTTATTCTCTGCTGTCTTTCAGGTGAGCCCTTTACACAGGAAGAAATGCAGGACATGCTCACCACTGCTCTGGATCCAGAAACAAATACTATTCGCTACAGAGACTATGTTTTAAGGATGATAGATGAAACTAAAAATCTTCCTCTTTAGTGTTTGGCATGCCTTTTGGTAACAGCAACATAGCTTGTCATGTACTTGAAATACGTATTTTAAAGTATAACGAAGCTCAGCTTATGACTTTGTGGTTATAATTAAAATAAAATCTATGTAGCTTTATTCCTTGGGTTCTGTATGTGTATTGAAGTATATTCACATCTGTAAAAAACTGCTCTTGAATGAAATACTGTGTAAGGTCTGGAAGAGAATTCACAGGATTTGGTTTGAAAACAACAGAAAAAGTAATGTTAATGGAGTCAAGAAGCAACTTTACAATTGCTTTTGAAAAACTAATGAAAAATGAGACCTGTGAAAGCTGGTAATAAGTAGGTTAGTGAGTACCTTGAGATAACTGAAGTTGTAAAGACATGCCACTAAGATAGAGCTTTTATATTTATATGTAATCCCTGTTTGCATTTAATCAATAAGGCATCAGGTAGGTTACTTCTTTTGGAATAATATAATAGATCAAATAAACGTTCTACAATTTATAGTTTTTGTCAAATACTCATGTTTTGTTTACCATAGGCAATTAAAATGAACCAGTTAGTTCCATTTTATGTTACTCATCCACCGGCACATGGTATTTAGCCTCTATTTTAAACATGCAGGTAACATTCAAACCATTGCCATACAAACAAAGTAATCCTTGAGGACATTTCTGCCACTAGAGACAATAAACAGTTCCCCTTTCATAATCAGTTTGAAAAATCAGGAGCTTCAACTGTTCAAAACTTTGGGTCATAGGACTGGAATTTGATCTTCATAAACTGATGAAGTACCATTTTTAAAAATGTGTTAGCATAGCATATGTGTCTCAACTATCCTTGCTAAAAGACTACCACAGACCTCATTGCTCTTCTTATTTCTAGCTTAGTAATTTTCTTGACTGTTACTGTACTGTTGTCCTTGAATTAAATTTCTTTCCCCTTGAGTTCCTGTCTTGCACATCATCTTCTAACATATGACCAGTAGTTGCCCCCAGCTGATGAGGTCTCATCTTGTAGAAGATCTGTGTCATGGTCCTCAAGGGCACCATCTAGCACTTTGTGCTCAACACCTTTCACCTCGTTTCTGTTTTTCTACTCTCTGTCAAGTTTCTGTCTTAACTGCTTATCCCAGTTCTGTGTCATCTGCAGACTTCATCAGCTCATGAAATCCGGGGGAGACTGGCACACAGAGGCATCGAATGCCTTACTCCTTGCCATGCCCTTCTAGTGGCATTGCTGAGAACAGAGCACAGGGCTCCTCACGGCAGGTCTTTTGCTCTACTCATTAGTTTCATTGCGCTGGAAGGTTGGAGGAGCTGTTTTTGTATAGAGCTGCAAGGGAGCTGCTGTGCTTCACAAAGAAGACATTAGCACAATCTAAATGTGGTGCTGGAAGCAATCCAAAAGAGACTAGTTTTTAATTCTCTTTTTACTTTATTGTCTTTACCAAATTGTCTTCCACTGATATTTTCTTAAACAGCAAGGCAACAAAGAGTTAATGCAGGTAAACAGCATTTCCCTAGTTCTAAGCTGAGTTTCCATCTGGGAACCACTGGTCCTAAGACTCTGCAGTGCACCCGTGTTAACACATTAACTGTGTATTTCATTTCTTTATCTGTAAGAATGCAAACCAAAGGTAATCATTAGTGTTACAGTGTGTGAAAATACAGATTTCTGAAGATTAAAGCAAGAGCAACAAAGGCCCATTAAGAAAATATATTTTTTATTAGCCTTCTTTAGTCTGTCTGTGGAAGCTCAAATTATCTTCCGTAGATTAATCCTTCTTCCCTTTGATACACAGTGTGTTGTACTGGATCTCTAACACAGCTGGCATGAATACAAGTTTCATTCATATTCTGCAGCCTTGCCTCATCTTGGATGTAAGCAGGAAGATGCTTATTTCAGGAAATCATTTCATAGCTTCCAGTGCTCCAGAGAGAGCACAATTTGTTTCTAGCGGTGCTACCCCAGAGGCCACCTCAGCTACTGCTGTATCAAATCAGGATGCCCATGTACAGCACAGTTGCAATTCATAGTGCCAACATGATCTAACAGATATCCTTTGGTGGCATATATAATTTTTATCCTACAGTCCTCAAATGCAAGGGAAGAGGGTATCCTGGCAAGTAAAAGGTAGGGTTGTGCCTGAATTTATGGTACAGCAATGCCTCCAGCCCTGTCTTATACCTGTCCCAAGTAAGGTATGTACAAATAGGACAGATAAAAGCAAGTTGCAGCCTTCACTTTGGGTGTAAGCAACCAAATTCTGTTGCTAGAGAGTTTCCAAATTACGACCGAAGAAGGTGTCAAGAACCAGTCTCCAGCTCTGTCGGATCTTAAAAGGTGAGCATTTGCTGCCAGCTTAGGATCATGTAGCAGTGATCTGACCTCCTGAGAAGGAGCTGCCCCATGAGTTCCCCCAGAAGCGACTGAGCAGTGCCTACGCAACTGTTCCCTTGCTCTTGTCTTTCATGACTCGCCAGCCCATGCTGTGCCCATCCATCTCCTCATGGCAGGGATGGACTGCATAAGGGGACTTGTCAAAGTTTCATGAAATGGGATTCGAGTACCCCACATCTCTGTGCTTCCTGGGCATGAGCAGGGTCCTGTACCCTGGGGGAAGAGGGAGGAAACCAGACTTAGGGAACCATTCTGCTATAACTAAAAAACCTTCTTTGTTTATAAATTTGAAAGGAAATATACATTACTTGGTCCTCATCTTTCAGGTGGACAAACTGAACTGCTGAGTGGTCTTGACCTGTCTCTTGCTACTTGCCTCCTTGTTGGCTGCTTTGCCTCTTCCCTGCAGATCAGGAACCATGATAAGAGAACAGATCACACGGGGAAGCCTCTGGGGAGGAAACAGCCTAGCACCTGGACTAAATCCACACAGGAAAGCAGAGCCAAAACTTTGAAGAAACTGGAGAAATCAGAGGGTTTTTGACCTAGCTGAAGTACGGAGAGGGAAGGGAACTCACTACCCAGACGTAAAAGAGAAAACAAAAAGAAAAGAAAAAGAAATGAAAAAAGAAGATCCTGGAAACCATCTACAAATACAACTGAATCAGCAGGCTCTTTACATCACTGCTGCAAGTTGTAGGCTGGGCAAGACTTTACTTGTTTAAAACTTCAAGTAGGTTCAGCTGTGTCAGGGCATATCTGGTTTATAGTAGAGACCTTTTCTTCAGTCTTGTTGATAGTGTGGAGAAATTCTTACAGCTGCTGAACTTGTGTTTGGGAGTCCTATTGCTCATATTCCAGGTAATACATTGCTTTTTATCTTTCCCTCTTCAGCATTGGAGTTGCTTCTTCAAAACACTTTTCTGTCTGCTGGTGATACTCCTGTATATATCCGCACCTGAAGGTTTCAACATTTTCCCATTGCAATGTACGCTGGCGAGGCATTTACAGTTATTTTAGACTCTCCACTGGCTGTGGGCAGAAGCACAAGTTGCAGGACATCGTCCACCAAAATGCTACAGGGCCAGCATCAGACCTGGGACTCCAGGAAGAGGACGGAGCTGTTCACCTATGCAATTCCGTTCATATTTTCACAGCAGTAAGAGCCTGCAAAATGTGAAGGCTCTTACCTCTGTTCAGGCAACAAGAATTTGCAATGTTTTCCCTTCCTCCTCAGGTTTCATTCTATCTTTACTCTTGGTTCTCCTGTACCTCATTTCATTAATACAGTTGCATGATATCCTGGTTAAAAATGTTTGCACAGTGCCTAGCGCTATGATGTTCTGATCACAATCAGTGTCTACAGACCTGCCTGCCAAAAAATTAGTAAAATTCACACCCTTGAAGTCTTTTGTTCCAGATTGTATGTTCAGATCACAACTTCTAAACAGATCAGCCTACAGCACCTATGCTTGTTTTTCATTGGACACAGAATGTCAGGGGTTGGAAGGGACCTCAGAAGATCATCTAGTCCACCCCCCCTGCCAGAGCAGGATCACCTACAGTAGGTCACACAGGAATGTGTCCAGAGAAGAAGACTGTGCAACATCTCTGGGCATCCTGTTCCAGTGCTCTGTCACCCTCGCAGTGAAAGTTTTTCCTAATGTTTTTGTGTAACCTCCTATGCTCCAGCTTGTACCCCTTGCCCCTTGACCTATCATTGGACATCACTGAAAAGAGCCTGGCTCCATCCTCCTGACACTCACCCTCTACATATTTATAAACATTAATGAGGTCACCCCTCAGCCTCCTCTTCTCCAAGCTAAAGAGACCCAGCTCCTTCAGCCTTTCCTCATCAGGGAGATGTCCCACTCCATCACCTCTGTGGCTCTGCGCTGGACTCTCTCAAGCAGTTCCCTGTCTCTCTTGAGCTGAGGGGCCCAGAACTGGACACAATATTCCAGATGTGGCCTCACCAGGGCAGAGTAGAGGGTCAGGAGGACCTCTTTCAACCTACTAGCTACTCCCCTTCTAATACACCCCAGGATGCCATTGGCCTTCTTGGCCACGAGGGCACATTGCTGGCTCATGGTCACCCTGCTGTCTACTATAGTGTCTTATGCCATGATAGGTTTGATTGTAAAACTAATTATTGAAACATCTGGTCTTATTGTTGGAGGGCTTTTTTTGGGCAGGTCAGTACTAGGCATGGTGAGTATACTGATTTAAAAGTTAAATAAAGATGGAGGTTGAAACAAAGCAGATTCTCCCATTTAATCCATTTTGAATCCCTGGGGCTACTATTTGTCTTAGTGTAGTTCTGAAAGCCAAGAAAATGTTATTCATTATGCTTGAAAGATTGATCATAGCATTTATGTCCCGCGGCCCAAATCCTGAAGTCTTTATTCAGACAGAACTCCCATTGACTTCAAAGGGAGTTCTGTCTGCAGAAGAGCTTCAGAAATACTGGTGTCCTGGCTCACAGGCACTGTTAAAACCTTTTATTCTCTAAACGAAGCCTCATCTGTGGAAGATCCAACAGAAATGTGCAACCAGCATGCAAGTTTTGTCATTGAAATGACCAAAACCATAACATCATGGGAG